GCAGAGATGCGATGAATGAACATACAGGGTGGTGTATATTGACTTATTATATTGAATATTTTGAATCGAATTACAATATCATGCATGTGTATATGTATGTACATAATTTATGAAAGTCGAGAATCCTCGATCGAAAAATCGGCTTTATTACCAATTTTCTTATTGCATATACGAATAAATTCTTAGAAAATTATTTAAGAAAAGATAAATGTGTCTTGAGGTAAATAATGGGAAAAAATTATATTTCTTTGTCTATTACATAATATTTAATTAAGTCAAATCACGTGTTTTTCATGAATATGTTCTATTATATTCTTCTAAAGGGGATATAATTTAAAAAGATATTCATTCATTTATATGAACATTTAATTTGAAATTTAATGATAGATGTAATTTGACATTGAAAGAATTCTTGTCGCTCAAAGCTGCGAGAGAAAAATTAATTTTTGAGATTATGAACACATTTCAATAGTAAAGCCAACTAATTTTATGATAGTAGTCGACTACATTTCGCAATTAATCTGCGAATACGATAGGGATTACTGTGCGAATATTTCTCTTATCAGATTTTGCTCGTACCCGGATCATTAAAATTATTCTCTTGCATTTTGCAAAATGCTGACCGAACTACCCTTTTGATCAGAGATGAAATTCAAGGAATCTTCGTCTATAAATCAACGCGCCTTTGAATTTCCATCCCACTTCAATCCGCCTCTTTCGCTGCTTCAAACGATATTAGAATTGCTCTTTTCCTTTCAGTGTATTTTGTGATATAGCATTTTTCTTCCGATTTATATTACTAAAAACGAATTTTGATTAAAGAGAATTTTCGACAATGCTGAAGACTTGTAAAAAGATTTAATTTGTCATAGAAATTGATTGCTTTAAAAAAGAAACAAGTCAATATTTTTTGTATATAACAATATTGTGATTGTAGAAAAATTAATTCTTTATATAAAACTAAATTTTAGTTTTGTTCCGTAAATTGAAATTCGAATGTCATACAAAAAAAAACATACAATAAAATCACAATTGAAAACGGTACGGAGATATGAAATATGTATACTTTCGGTATACTTTCTATGCAAATTTCAAATTTTTACATCATGCAAGGAATTGAAAGAAATTGCATAAGATATAAAGAGAAACTTCTAAAAATTGTATCGATAGTGAACATGATTTTTCATTCTCCCACTATAAAATTTGGATTTTTTTTTATGTCGATCGCCGCTAAAAGTTCTATTCGTCCGTATAAATAAATGAATGCTATAACTGAAAAAAAGGATAAAGAAAAACTGATTTTACTTGCGTCTTTCAATATCGATGGAAATGAAATATTAAATATCTTTTCCGTTCACATCGAAAAATATCAGAATTCGCCCTTAGTGCCTCTTTCATTTTGTAAGAAACGAGAATTTAGTTGCTAATATGACCTGATTGTGAAGTACTCAATCTGATATTCTTTCTGATTTTATCCGCAGCTTTGGAATCGACTTGGACTTTTCTTTTAATAATGTGAGAATTTCGCTTTACTTCCGCTGTGAACAACGATAAAAGAAATATTAAGGTCGAGCAACAAAAATAGACCAAATATTGTAATTTAATATGTGTGAGATGCACGATAACATATTTTAAAAATACATCGAAAGCGGTGAAGAGTCGTATCTAAATTTTAAATCACAATGATATTATAAAATATATGGCATTTATTCTTTTAAGATTGAAAATGTAATATTCTTGCTTATGTAATTAAAAAAATACTTACATGCTACTAAATCTTTGAACATAACAAATACTTTTGTTACTAATTATGCTACCATATTTCAAATCATACTATAATAATTACATTTTAATGTATTATTATTTCATGATTATTATTTTATAGATATATGAGTAAAATAATAAAATGATATTTTATTTTTATTCAGTATATTAATAATACATAAATTTATATGACGAGTACTAATTTCAAAGTTGAGTGTATTTGAAGCAGATGCTTGACCGATTTTTTCATCTCTTGACCGAGATAGTTGTCAGATCCAGGAATTGATATATTCGAGCATACATTTTTTTTCCTCGTGATTGCATTCGATAGCCATCCATTAGAGCATCAGTGCATCTCGAAAAATCACAAACGTTTCATTCGCAGGACGTTGCTTGGAAAGCGACATTTAGTATTGCGACTGTAACGTCAATTTAATTTCCGCAGCCATTCAATATTCCCTTTTTCATATGATTGTTCAGCTTTTCGGTGATGCATCAGTTTCTAGAGTAGATATTGATGCGCCACGAAAGTTTTGTACAAGTCGATCACGTACCTTTTTGAGTCTTTTGTAAAATGTTAATCAAACTCATAGTATTCATATCTTAAAAATCTTATAGATAAAAATTAATAAAGTAAGAATGAATTATTGACTAATTTAAATGAATGGTAATATATATTATATCTTTGTATGATTTTCGATCGAGGTCTGACGATATCTGTGGGTACAACATATTAATTTCTTAACCCATGATTTCGTACAAACGTTCAAAACTGTTCGTGTTTTGTTTATAATCGGCATGCATTATCCAAGCAGAAATAACAATATATCCATTGTAATTCGATTCCTGGCTTGTCGTGCGCAGTTAACTTCTGATTTGTGGCCTACAACTTTCGACGGAACATGATTGGATTCTGCGCGTTGATATAAATCGTAAATCCTAGAAACGAATTTTCGCAGTGGCGGATTCTCGATGGTGAAAACTTCCTTCCGACTCGATAACTCGTTGACGATCGTACCCCGATAAAGAAAAATCGCCCCGTCGACTCGTCGTGAAGCTCCGGTTTTCTCGTCGAGTTCACCGCTTATCCCCGCAATCGAAATTTTTACAAAGCACGCACGATCACCTCTAAGCTAGCAATAGAACGTATCCGCCAGTTTTTATCGATATTCCAAGCAAAACGAGGTCTAAAAATTGTTCAGAAAATATCGGATCGTTTAACGATGCGACATTCTTATCGCCATCGGATCGATTAAGCGTTGAGGGCGTTAATTACGCCTGTGGATCACGCGATTTTTAATTATCATAGTTAACAACGTTTTGAGCAAGTTTCGTGTCGAAAATTTGATATACTGTACTTTCGAGACCGAATGTGAATTATGGACATACGAATAATATTCGTGGCACAAACACGATTCTTTTTCTTTCATTAAATTATTAAAAATAATATAAAGTATACATAATATGCATATTTGTATATTTATAACACTTTTTTTTGTCAATATAATAACAATCTAGAGTATCCTTTTTCATTGATCAATATCCTTTTCGCGAAACTTTGCATGTTGATCTTATTTATATTAAGAATAACACGAAAGCACATTTGCAGTTAATGAAATAATACATATAATAGTATAATATTAACAATAAGAAACGGTGTAATTGTTCATCAAAGCAAGTTTCTAAGTACATGGTGACCATCGTTAATCACTTGACAAAGCCCGTGGTTCAACATGCATCCAAAATCCACATACAGCCTCGTGTACTATCCCCAACTGTTTACATATGCAGCCGGAGAACCTCCCTATAGCTTCTAGTTTCGGCAGTGCGAATATCCTACCTCCTTGGAAGGACGCAGAGTGCTTATGAAGCGTGGAGGAAGGTTCAGAATGTAAGAAAGCTGGCAGACAGGAGGATGTTAAGGATGTTGAAAAAACAAAAGGGATGCAGACCGATAGATGAAAAGACTCAGAAAGAGAGAAAGAGAGATAGAGAAGAACAGAAAGATTATGTGTTTTCGTGCATTTGAGTGAGTGAAAAAGAGAAAAGAGAAGAGAAGGAGAGATAGAGGAAAAGGAGAAGAAGAAATAGAAGTCGAGAGAAAAACTGTTCCCTCCCTTCTCCCCTGGAACACGTTGAAGCCAAAATCCGTCGATCAAAATCGACGACGTGGCAAGTGTCTGAAGTAAACAACAAGCAGCTCCATCAGATGTATTATAAATTACGCGAGGCAATTTTTCCAGGAGAGGCAGGGCGCGAGACCGGGCGAGTCGGATCTCGCTAATGGCAGTTGGCTCCCTGTTATATTTTTGTCTCGTACAAAAAGTTCACGTGGAAAATTACACATGCAAATATGGGACGCTGTCACGTATGGTGGGCCCCGACTGAAACATTGAGCAGAATTGAGCAGAATAGATCGCATTACATTTAATCGCATTACATCAAATCTTTTTTCGAGTCTTCGGTTAAAACTTCGAGACAAGTTTGGTTTTATTTTTGGAAGAGAATTTAATGTTCAGTTTAATGTGCACAAATGTAATGTACAATCGCACTTAAATCATCATTGAACTAAAAGAAGATATATGGAAGAAGATGTGTAGCTAAATTCTTGTTGAGCATCTTTAATGCTGAGAGCAGCATAAATTAAGCAACATGCTATTTAATTTATGAAAGTTAAACACAACTTCTTTGTATTAATCAAATAAATGGTAAACTCAATTAGAGATCTTTGCTAATGCTAAATACAGTGTCAGTTAAAATAGTGAATGTGGATTTAAGATTCATTATGCTATCCTTACGACTGCTTTCAGTAAAAGTCAAGCAGAGTTCTAGAATACATTTATCAAAACATTGGTTGTTTACCCATTTCTGCTTCGTTCAACGTGGCGGAAGAGGATACCACGGGATTGCAGCGCCATTACTTTTGAAACTCCTAAGATCGTACGTAACTTCGCGAAGTATAATAAATACGTTTTGCATATATTTACAAGCGTCCGTAGAATTACAGCTGTAACTGTAGCAATTTTATGAGACAGAAAATTTTCGGAAAGTAGTGAACTCTCAATTTCCGCGCATTGTATTAAATTCTAAATAACAACTAATAAATAAAGAATAAATATTATACTTATTCTTTATCTATTTTGTGGATTGTATAATGCATTTGCATTTTCTCTTACTTGTTCCATTACCAGGTAAACAATGGAATAAATAATGTAAATTTACTGTGCATTATTTTAGAAAGAAAGATAGAACACTAGATCGTGCAACATACATATAAAAAAATCATGTTTCCTCGTATCTGCCGAGAAATTTGCAATGTTAAATTTCCTCTGGGATTTGCGACAATAATATCATAAAATCATTATATGAAGCTTCCCGCAAACTTCTGCTGTCTAATACATATACTTCCGTTGAAATTTCTTGTTGCACGCAACTTATTTTTTAATACAAAAAAGTTGGAAAAAATTTACACACGAATATATATGTCGGCTTAATTGGTATTAACTTATTACTTGATTTACAATTAGGCTAAGTCTATAATATAATAATATGAAAAAAGAAGAGATATTTTTAATAATCTAAATACAGGATGCTCTACGTCAAATTCCTCCAGAAATGAGCGCTTTCAGCAGGAAATCGAGAGTTCATCATGCAATCGGTAACAAAGCTATGCATTTCCTGCCTCGTAGCCATTTAATTCCATTTCCCGTGCCATGCATCCTCATCGCGATGAACTTTGATCAGTCGAAGCTACCATTGACACTCCTAACGAGTAGAGTGACGTCCGGACGTTTCATGTCGACTATGAGAGACTCGCTTTCTTGCACGATACAAATGAATTAGGCCAAGTCTAACGGCGCATGTTAACGAGAAAATCGCATTTCCCTGATCACGAGGAACACTCTAACGGAGCCATAGAATCCTCAGACTCGACGTGTCCATCATCCAACACACATTCGTTTTTTTTTCTCAGGAAGAAAAGGACAGACGATACTCCAGTATTGATAATTCTTCCGATCTCTTCTCGAAACAATTAGCACCGGGAGAGAAAGCACGATTTCTCCTCTTTGTTCCCTTCCCCTCTTTCAATTTTTACGCCCAATGCCTTCTCTTTACGCATCACAAGTACATTAGAATTTCACGGATCACAAGACTGCGTCAGGCACACGAGATCCGCGCGACCACCCGCGTCGACAATCCCGGTGAACCGAAGTCATAGGATCGAACTGCGAGCCGTCGCGGAGCCAAACGCGACCCACTGTCATCATGAACACCTGCACGCTTCCGGCGCGCGATGTATCGCCGCCGGGACGCGTTGCGTCGTCGCGTTGCTAACCCACAACGTCGACGTCGTCGTTGGGACGACGTTCGCTGCCGTGACCAGCAGCCGATCCGCCTCAGCGCCAAATTCGCTCCGACTGTTCGTCGAGGCAGGCCAGCTGGTGATCAACTCTCGCCAGCCGGGCACGCTGGTCAGGTAGGCTAGAAGGAGTAGTATGAGGCACCCACCTAGGCACCCGCTGCCTCCGGCCTCAAAGGCGGCGCAACCGCTCGTCTGGTTCTCCGTTGTTGGCCTCTGCACCTCTGGGTGTGAGACTCGATCCATCTTTCGGCTACCTGTCCACGGATCACCCTCGGTATCCACAGTATTGTGCCGGACGTCCGAAGGTGCGTTGTTGACTTCTTCAGGGATCGCAGGCGGCAGCGGCTTGTCCTTGTCTAGCTCGTCGTCCACTTCCACTGAGGCATCCGTGCCGAAAAACACGAGCTTCCACTCCTCCAGCGTGTCTAGAACAACAACCCCATCTATGTTAGCACGATTCTAATAATATAATATAATAAACAATTTTGTTGAAGTGTCTAAGAATTTAGCTAAATACAGATTTGAAAATAATTATGTTGGAGTAGTCAAAATAATTATGTAGGAATTTGAAACATGATGAGCAACGCTGCCAAAATGTTTTGACATTCTAATAAGTTTCTGCGTCCTGCATGATTATTTTGATACTTCAACAAAATTATTTTTAAATTTGCATTTAGCTAAATTTTTAGTTACTTTAGCAAAGCCGTTCTCTGCGTGTAGCTAATAACTAGTTCATATGAGTGTGCGAAACACTTCGCAAAGAATAATACACAGAAATTTAAAGTATTGGAGACAGAAAAAGGTCACAGAAAAGATATAGCACACATAAAAGAAATAAATAAAACAAAAATTGAAATAATTGTCAAAATTTAATGCCGAAACTATTCTTCTGCAAAATTCTTCTTTCTTCGTATTATTCTGCTTTCTATTTAATATTTGAAATTTCTTCTGCCTCTAATACTCTTTAAATAATTGTAATTTTGTTGACAAACATGTAATATATGTACATATGCGATTAATGTGAAATTTAAAAAATCCAAACGTGCCACAATTTTATTCTTTGCTCTGTAAGCGAAGAATAGACTGAGAATAACGTACTTGCCTCCTGTACGACAATTACGCAATAATAACTACTGCCTACTGTCATCTTTATATTAAGTACACACATGCACGATTACAATCAACCCTGGTAGATTTTACGTATCGTGGTATACGTACCGTAGATTTCTGAGAATAGAAACGAAAGCTCGCAGACCTCGCAGCACCATTTTCATGGGCAAGGTTCTGATGGAAACGAAATTTAAATTATCTCCAGATAATACATAAATATTAATAAAGTCTTACGTACAATAATATCAAAGTGTATATTTTTTAAGAAAGAACCTTATGGAATATTCATATTAATAAATTGTCACAGAGCAGCAAAATTATAATTATCGGACGTATCCAACTAATTTTTCATCTGCCTGTTGAATAACGTGCTTTTCACTTTCTCGCAAATTATTCCGCGACCTTGCTCGCAAATATAACGTAAGATATTGTATTTCGCAGAGAGGTGAAGGCGGTAAAATGGAAGGTTTTGAGAAGTAGACGAGACGCAAGCGAGACAGCGGAAGGAGTGGCGGAGACGTCGTCGGCGCCGTCCAGGAAATTAATAAAGCGTCAGGACGCCGTGGGGAAAATTTCGTCCTAAGCTGGCTCGCGGGAACAATGTCCGCGATAGAAGGGAAATGCATGCGGGGGAGGAAGAGTCAAGACTTGATTAAATTAGAGTTAAAAATAACCGAGTAATCAGCGACGACTCTCCGCGCACATTCACTCAGCGCAATGTGTACGTCGGAATTAAATGCAAAGTGCTTTGCAACGAGAGAATAGTAAAAACTCGTGGACGATTATCGTTTTTACTTCGGGTAAGATACATCTGCAAGTTTCCTTGCGCTGCGGGCAAGACGAAAAAGCTAACTAAATGGAAGCTAATTTTAAATATCATGTTCTTCTCTCAGCCAGGTATTAAGAGTTCAGAAAATTATTTGATACTTAACGACTGGGTTTCAACCATGTCACAATTTAACAAGATTTGCATATTAATAAAAAAATAAATTTAAAGAATTGATTGAGATAAAATCATGCTTGGTTATCGATAAATTTGAATATTGCTCTCGAAATATTTATTATTTTCTACTCCATTTACGGATGAAACGTACATTCCTTAAGAAATAAATTGATTTTTCTAGATGTTCATATTAATTTATATCTTGTTTATGTACACATCACGGTAAAGTTAAAACGTACATACAGCTTCAGATGAAATCAATCCCGTGGGAAAAGCTGAATTTCACAAGCAGAGAGTTCTGACGGGATACCAGAAATCAAAGCGGCGGAAAAGCGGATCCAATTTATCGTGACGAGACTGCTCTCGTGTGTGCTTTTTTGGCTGGCAACCGTAAACTACCGGCTGCCAGCTATAATAAAGTAATCGTTAAAATGTTCGCTGTTACGAGTACGCTAGGTAACTGTAAAGTGACAAGCGTCGCGACGCTTGGACAGCTCCCTCGCTTTTACGAGAAGTATCGAGAAAATAACTTGCAACCGAGGGTTGGAGGAAATAAGCGGGAGGATGATGAGAGAGAAACAAAAAATGTCAAAAGTCGATTGGGACGATGTGGCAGGCTATTCGTAAGACAATGGAAATATAAGGGCATTGTGCTCGATAGGTCGTTAGCGCGTACTATTGGAGGAGAGAAATCTCCAATAATAATGCCTTGAGAGCGGGAACCATTTTGCGGAGTAAGCGAGTGAAAAAATTTCCAATCATGGAGGAAATTATTTAGCAGCGATGATGGACGAGAGGAGTCGCTCGGTCTCCATCATGATGGGGTTCGTTTCGCTCTCGTCGGCTTTTCCATTTCATGGCACGCATTAGCGGTTTTCAGTGCCGTTCGCGTCGTCGCGTTTCACTAAATTTTGAGTGATTTGCGGTTACGCAGTGATCTAGAATTCGAGAATTCGAAAAGGAGATAACAAGCGCAACGCGCAATCATGAATACCATTGCGAAATTTACGAATTTTCGCCGTTACTACTTTAAAATATAAAAAAATTTTCAGAATTGGCAAGTAAAACGTGATACTTGCACGTCGTTACTTTGTTGATTGTTATCTTGTTATAATAACAATTTCAATTAATGACATGGTAAATTTTTTTCTGACAGTAATACTAACATCAGAGTTAGAAAAGTCAATCGTTATTTGTAATGGGTTGAAAAAGTCACACGTTACTAAAAAAAAACTCCTAATTTGTTACTTTTTACTCGTTACTTGTAATTACTTATTACTTTTTTCAATAAGTAACGCATAATGGTGACAAGTTACTTTTCAAAGTAATTTTTCTAACCTTAGCACAATCTTAACGTTTAGTTAGTTAGCGTTACCGTCATAAAAAATTGCAACATCGTCATCAAATTGTTTACTGTAAAAAGTAACAAAAAGTAAGTGAAAGTAACTGAAAAGTAACGTTTGCTAACTCTGAAAATTTTCATATTATTAATCTGTTTAAATTAAGGTATATGATAATAATATCAAAATGATGAATACAAAACAAATAAAATATTTAAAAATATGATGTTTTTATTATTTATATATAAAAAAATGTAAATAAATTTTCTTAATGTGTTATCGTATCTCTCAATTATTTTTTAATGATAAATAGAGAAACAAATATAAAAATGGAATATCTAAAATAATTATTAACTCATATTATATCGTATATATCTCTCGCGAGCGGAATGCACAATTTTCTCTTGCAGAAGACAATGGTCTGCATATGGAGTATGAAAATAATAGGATACAAGGCGATACATGCCGGCAATATATTAGATAACCGTCGCATACTGATGCGGTCGAGGCTGCATATGAAGCTCATCGATAACTAAGTCATTGAAAGTTTTGTGATTGAAGGCCATAGCGCCCTCGATAAGTTTTCCTATTATCGAGCCTGCCGTTTACGCAAGAGGCTTCGAGTGTAACAACAGGAAGGAAAGCGACGCAGAAAGCGTCAATATGATGAAAAATCCGACACTTGACACAAAGAGCGACAAGACAATCCAAAATATCGAAATATACTTACTTAAAGGAGCTTCCTGAAAGTTCGGTGGATGCGATGGCAAATAGTTTATATGGCAAATAGTCGGTATAAGTATAGATATTTTATAAAATATAAAAACATAGTACATCGAACAATTTTCTTAAATAGAGTTTGTAAATAATTTATAAGTAACTACACAAAAAGCTGGCAGTTCTCTCAGCACGTAAAAACTATTAAGTGCAGTAATACAAGCAAAATTTGTTTAAAATAAAAAAATATTTGTATAATATATATTTTTATTCGTGCATACATTAATCGTGCAAATATATAATTTATTCACTACAATTTTACTTACAGCATTATCTAGATTCTAGATCCATCTAACAAGAACTAGAGATAATACTTTACATGAAATATCATACAAGATATTTTGTATAAAACATTCCGATAAAAATGTCACAGACAAAATAAAGTTTTGCAGAAAACATCGGGAACTCTCATTTCAAAAAAGAGAACATTATGCAAAAGAGAGTTCCATCATACTTACAATAAAAGATATGTTATATAAGAATCACGTAAAATTACTTCTAAATTTAAATAAAAAAAAGACACGAATAATGGGAAATAAGCTTGTCTACAGTGTTGCATATTAATAGCCAGGAATAATGTATCTATGTACACAAACAAAAGTAACGGTGATTACGGTGTGGTCGCAATCAGCGAAACAGCTAACACAAAAGAGAAAATACGAAAACCAAATTCCAGCGGATCCGTTTAATCTTCGGGGCTTTGCGCACGATGCATCTCTACTTTCCACACTTCACGTGGGTGCGCGAGCGGATGCGTGGAAGTGAATGGGAAACGATCGGAAGCTGTGCGAAACGACCTTCTTTGTTGTCCCGCGGTTTAAAATACCGCCGTTGGCGGAACACAATAGAGCAGATAGATTGACGTTATTAGTCACCGCGATTATCTGTATGCGCGACACTACATTTTTTTGTAGACATTTTAATCAAGCAAATAATGCAAATGATTATATAATTTAATTATGTAGATAGATACTGATATTTATTCTTTTTTAATTCGATTATCGAGTATGTAAAACGTACTTTTTACTTATGTTACTTTAAAATGACAACAATATCTCCTAACTAATTGTATGAAGTAGTCATCAACGGGAAAATGTTCGTATTTTTATTGCACAATTAAATAGATTTTATTTCTACTTTTAATTTTTTTTAATTAAAATCAAATTCAAATTCTATTTTCTGCTGCGGATTTTACTTCAATAATTAATTTAATTCAATTAAAGTAATTCAATTAAATTAATCTCGACTTTGTAACAATCTAATGATACTTTCACGCAAATATAATACCTTCCGATCGTTGCCATTAAGCAACCGACACATTCGCCGTTTCTCATTCGTTAGGTACCCTTGTCCAGTTGCAGATTCCTTGGGTCAAATTGCTCGTCCTGCAGCAGGTCGAGTCCTTTGGCCCTTGTGGCATGCTGGCCGGTACCGCGAGCTCCACCGTAAACTGGATAAAGCTGTTGGATCTTGGGATACTGTTGAAATACCGCCGGGACTTTGTTAGTGGCCGCCTTTGCCGGTGGTTCCAACAAGATCAGTCCCCGCTGAAGAGGCGATGCCGTAACCACGTCGATGATCTTCTGTGTAATAATCTGTTTACTTGTCGCGGTGGTTGTCTGCGCTTTTGTTGTCGCAACGGCCTGAGTCACGGTGCTGGTAACAGGGCTGGGTGTACTTCTCCCACGTGGTCTCGACGTGATCAAACGCACGTCACCGGCTACGTTGTTGGACCCTCTATTGATTCCGGTGAGACCCCGAAGAGTCTGAACGGTGGGTTTGGGATTCGGCCGATTGGCCGACTTGCCGTTCTTGTACTGACCGCGGGCCTTGCCCTTCCTCTGGGACTGAATCTGAGCGTTCATCACGTAGGGCGGGCTCATACTGCCGGACTTGTCGGATTTGTGCTGCGTCTGCTTGCCTTTCGCCAGGGTGTTCTGGTTCTTCGGGATGGTCTCGCGTGGCTTGACGAACGGTCGTCTGGGTATACTCATACCGGCCGGATTGTAAAGAGCGTACTCGGTCCGATCGGGCAGCGTTGCGGTACCGTAGAAAATCAACGCCCATTCGTGCAGAGTAGCGCGTCCTGATCCGGTATGCGTCCGTGAATGCAGCGAAAAGAAAGCGGATGTCATGGTTAAAGAGAGACAGGAATACAATGCGATGCTTACTGGCGCGTTGTGAACGACGCAGTAAATAATAATACAGTATGTCAAAAATTAATCAAGGTTGAAAGGTTAGATGTTGGTCAGAAGTTCGATGGAGTTGTAATACGCGTGATCCTCAACGGGCCTTCTCACTAACTTCCTCTTAAAGCAGCTTCCTTTAAGAGGAAGTTAACGAGAACGTCAGAGAATTATCCCTCTTAGAAATCCCTGTTCGATAGCACAGCAGCTTTACATTCAGGGTTCGCAAGATACGTCCACGGAATACTTGTGACAGTATAAACACTGGGTACATAGTTCAACAGTGTCTCGAATATTCCTGCGACCCTCGCGTCTCTAGCATACAATTCGCTATAATGAATGTGAATGTGCTCTACAGCGATATAGGTCGACGATGCATAAGCACGTAAGGAAGTTTACGTAGCCATCGGCCTTGATGAGCCGACACGGAAGCAGTTCAAAGTGGCTTAACGCTTGCATCGGCTGCTTTCGTTGCTCCACGACCTCGCTGCTATTTGCCGTTAAGGATAAGTAGGATGGCTTGCGAGAGGACTCCGCAGCTCGAATCTGGCAATTATCCGTCTCTGGGGGGGGGGGGGATAATGCAGCTTCTTAGATGATCGCACGCAAATGGGTCTTATATAAGAGCTCTCTCGGTTGCGTCCCAGACAGGAGGCTATGAGAATGCGGTGGATCCCGAAGGATCTTGCGGAGCTGAACACCAACTCGGCATCGGATCGCAGGATGCGCGTGCAATGCTAGACATGTCTGAGCCATTCCGTCCGGATGTCACGCGTATGAATCGGTTAATCCTTTGTCATACAATTGTTGGTTTACAATTGTTCGAGGAGTAATGAAAATCGCGAGAATATCACGGATAATTGTAACTCTCGTTTTAAATTAAATTTCTTGTATACAATATTTTTTCCCGTGCAAGTCAGAAATAGATGTTAATGCCAGCGAATTTCTTGCGAGCATTTTCGGCTGGAAGATGCAACTGACAGGGAACTTGGTAACCGTGACCTTATGAAGGCGTTGCTAAGACGCTTGGAAACTATTGTTACGGCGAACAAGGTAGAATTCTATTTGAAATTTAAATCGACCGAAGGACATCTTCGAATGCAGGAGCTAATGCCGGTATAATCTACAAAGCGCTTTGTCTTTGACGTTTAAGTCTAAGATTTCGCGTAATGGTCTTTGAACAAATGCCAGTTAAATGTATTCCATATATTTAAAATAACAATTGAAAGAAATCCTATTTAAAAAAATTAGAAAGAGGTTAATGAAAATTTAATATTATTCAGTATATTAAATGTTCTTAAAATGTGTATTTATCGACTAATTTGATTAGTCATTTCGTCAAGAATAATCTAATTAGCAAAATTAATCTTTCTATAAGGATTCTATAAAAGGATTCAGATTTGACATTTTTATACTGGAAAATGCATAATTTTTTGTATTGGAAAATTGCATAAGTCTGATTAATTTAAAACGGTTTTCAGATTTTGTTATAAATTAAAAAAGTTATGTTAAGATGGCGAATGCAGTTTTTCTAATGTTAAGAGTCTAATTTTAATTAATATTTATTTCATTAGAAATTACTTCAAGCTAAATAATTTAATGACAATTGAGTGGATTAGTTTCATGTAATTAAATAATTTAATAAAGTAATTTAATTGGTAACTAGAGTTATAGCGATGAAAAATTATGGCATATTAAATACAGTCTCAATTATTGATCCAATTAACTACATCGTTCATCAAACGATTGTTAATCAAACATTCTTCATTGATTATGCAATAACGCGAAGATGTAATCCACTTACCGAGGTATCGACCCTCATTGTGAATTTCTAATTTCCAGGTGCCGTGCGGCCTCTCTCCCCAAGTGTGCACTGACATGAATGGCCATTGGCTGAAACCGGCCTTCGAGATGTCGTGCGGCCTTTTAGCGAGAAGAGTGCTCTTCGTGCCTTGAGGAGACGTTAGTTGTATCTGAAGATCTCCTCGTCTCACTGCCATCAGCGATACTTTCGCCTGCGACAAGCGTATTATTATGCCATTATCACCAATCATGTATATTTTTCACTGCTAACATTTACGATTGTCTACACACATCTTTGTGCAAATAAATTAAAACTTTCAAATTGGTGTGTCATAATATTTTATTAATAACTTTATGTATGTAATAACTTTGTGACATTTTATTAATAACTCTTTAATAATTGTAATAATGTATAATTCTGCTAGTGAAATAATCCAAAAAAAGAAATAAATAAATGGGAATTTATGTAGATTTTTTACGAGATAATTTCGCGCTGTGTAACTAATAATTTTATAAGAGTAATTAACTTAATTCATTTAGTTTCTTCAACACGAGATTTGAACCGGATCTAGTAATTACATTTCGCCGGCAGAAGCAGTCATTAATGCACTTTAAGTTAATTTCCTGAGGATTAAATAACTATTTAGCATAAATTACAGTTTGTCTTAGTTTTCCATAGACAGTATAAAATGATGACGACAAACAATTAGTTTATTCAAATGAAAAGTAAATAAAATTCTATCACTTCAACGTCAGCTGGCGAAACATTTTGTTCTCGAAATGTAGTCCGAGTTTGTACTTCTCATAGCCGACATGAAATCCGCTAATTAGCAATGTCACTTGAATGACATGCTCAACTTACCTGAACATGCTCGAGGAAATTAACGCCGCTGCAATCCTTGACATGTAAGTCGAGGACCAATTGGCTCTTTGGTGGTATTGTCCTAGAAAGTATACGAAAAAATCGGGTTAAGTGTCAAGCCATGCGCATACAATTTTATTGCAGATATTTTTAAGTGGATATACCCATTTGTTGTTTAAATCATTGCTCGAGCAATTCGGTCAATTGCGCATTACTTGTTAAATACTTTTATAATCTCCGAGCTGTGCTACTTCTCGAAAGCGCCTTTAGTAGTAACTTATTGATATTTTTATAGTAAAATATAACTTGATATTGTTATTTTATTTTATATTTTTTAATGAAAATAGTTTCTTTTAATGTTAGCATATTAATATGTGTATAAAAGAATAATATATAAAACATCAATAACATTTTTTCTGAAGAGTAGGATAAAAAGAACACAATTGTACATTCGTTTTCAAACATTAAATATTATTCTAAAATAACAAATATTACATCGCATTAATAATTCTTTATTGCTCTTTCATTAAGAGCACAAAATTTTCAGGATTATTATGTATATAGAATTTTGACTACGGTTTTTATGTTTAATGGCTTTAGAGGAGTGTAGCTTCAAAATGATTACATTTTATATTATGTAAACGCTCGTTCAACACAACGTGCAATTTGTTCTCATTCGTTACAACCCTTGACAATGTAAATGACGCATTACACGTGATTTCCAGTGCAATTTCATACAAGTAAAGTCCGCTTGATGGTAGCTCCGACATGCTTGGACGAATCTGTAATCTGCGAGAGACATGTTCGTTCGTTTCAAGGGACAGATAGCGATCTATAGTACGTATCTATATGGTCGAATCAAATTCCAATTTCTCTCACTTTCGAGCATTTTTTTTAAAGCCGATGATTCTTAGTATAAATAATTCTTTGTATGTCGCTTTTTTCCTCTTCGTGTATTAATAATAAATTTTCTTTTATTCAAGGTTTTGCCTTGAAAATAGAACTTTAGAAATTCTTATTATTTATTTAATAGAATAACTTTCAAGCATAACTTCGGGGCACTTACCTGCCTGTATGTGGCGCCGATACTTCGCATCTGTGTTGCTCCGGGACGGTTCTCCATCTTCTCGCTAAGCGTACCATGGCAGTGGCGTCCATCAGCCCGTAACCGAAGCTGTGGCTCACTGTTAAACAGAAATCGGATTGCAACAATGAAACAATTTTTATCTGATTTCTTTATTAATAAATTTTATTATCTAGATTAGAATTCTATATTTATTCAGTAAATAAATCTGACAGATTCGTTAAAATATTCTGATAGAAACAATAAATATTAATCAATTATAATATTCTTATATTTACTCGGTAAAAAATTAAAACTTTTGTGATTCCATTTTATTATCTAACCAATAACTAATTTCTCTTTCAAAAAAATCATGCGCGTTTAATCTTCAAGAAATGTTTTCTCTCTATCAAGAATAAATTGATGATTATTCACCATTTCTACCGACGCCGTTGACTACCCAATCCGGTGCTTGCAGGTTCGCAGGTTTAGCTGTCCTGACTACGATGTGTTGCATATCCCTCCAGGTAAGATCTCTGTTTGCTTCCAGAGCAAGGGCACAAATGCCAGCTGCTAGCGGCGCCGATGCGGAGGTGCCGGTATGGCTACTGGTACAGTGATGATGTAGATCCGTAGTGACGACTTGCTTCTCACCGGTAGAACCCGAGCTGTATGTGGTGGCGAGAGTGGACGAGCACGCCTCGCTATACCAAGGCACAAGACCGTTCTCTGTCGCACTACTGATCGACAGCGTCCAGATACTATTGGTATAGCCGTCACAATTGCAGTTATCATGGTCCCGGCCGCCGTTTCCGGACGCCCACACGAAGATCGAACCCTTACCGTTGCGACCCTAACGATGTTGGAGTAAAGTTCTTTTAATTCACTTACTAATGAAAAAAGCTGCTATATATATGTATGTATTATGTACATAATAATTCAGTTTGTTAAAATATTTAAAACAATCTAGAAAT